ATGCATCTCTTTCTGTTGAAAATACCACCGCCCCCCCATTGACTCCATAGCTCCCTATACCTACACCCATGTTCCTCTGGCTCATCCTTACAGATAAATTCCATGAAAGTTCTGTTAATATTTATTTTTTTGTCCTTAGCTTCTATTTTTAATTGACTTTAAAGTAAACTATAATGTACACATACATATGCACACACAAAAGAGCACATATGAAGTATACTATAGTTTATAGAATAAAGTATAAAGCAAATCAATGTACCCACTGTCCAGCCAAAGAAATAGAATACTACTACCTCATATAGACCTCCCATACTTACTCTCCTCCTCTCAAATATGTTTTTAAAACTTTTCTTTCTTTTTTTCATCATTTTAGAGCACAGGCATGTGCATATGCACTATATTGCTTATTATTGTTATTTCTATAAAAAAATTAACTGTGTCACCACCCATCAGGCCCTTGTGGCTCTGGTCCTCACTGTAGGAAGTAACCAGGCATGACGAGGATTAGAAGTGCAAGCTTGAGGGAGGCGGGCTAGCCCTTCATTGCAGGGCAGCCCTGAGGAACCTCCACACTAACCTTTTATTGAGACAGAACAATACAGGTGAGGGGAGTAATTAACAATGACTCCATGCTGAAGGGCACAGGCTCTTCTTCCACAAGGAACACCTATAGACAAATGGCCTGAGGTCCACCCCTCAGCTGCAGATCATCTTGCTCAGATGTCATCTGGCTCTTGGCATCCCCTACGTTTCCCCCCTCTAGTGTATTAAAGACATTTCTGAATAGGCAAAGGAGAAAATTTGTTGTTGGTTATTTCAGCCATTCTCCTCACCCAGGAGCTTTTTGCTAAGTAAAAGAAACAAAAGGGAATATAAGTATAACAAAAATACACCAACAGAGCTAATCCAGTTATAAAGGATTTATAATTTAGCCAAACTAGGCATAGGGGAAAATACGTCCCCTTTGTGCTAATCACCATTCAACTAAGCACTACGGGCTGACCCATAGGGCTCACGATGCTTCCATGGGAAGTAGTAAGCACTACCCGAAGCTAAGTTAGGTGGGAAAAGGGCTGCACCAAACTCAGACCCTTTCCAAAGAGCAGTATAACTTTAAGTAAAGATCAGCTGAAACAGATATAAATCCAACAAGTGAAATTCTCTTACCTGCTGATACCAGAATAACCTTTACCTTAAAGCCTGTTGTTCAAGGTCTTTGTTGTCATAACCTTTCAAGGTTTAAAAGATGCATCCCAAGCTTGCCTGGGGCTTAATATATAGCCCAAATAATAAAATCCTGTATCAATCTTCCCATTCTGCATAGAAGTTCCAACTGCCTCTTAGGGAAAAGGGCACTGACTGCTCTTAACTGCTTCCTGCTGATGATGGACAGTGATATGGGAGAGGCAGCTAGAGTTCCCACAGAGGTGATTGATCCAGGGTTTCCCTATTATGAAATTACCTAGGCTAAGGCCCTGTGAATAAAAGAAAAGCTAGTGGAAAAAAAATTTGTTCAGGTGCTGGCAAGGTTTCCTGCTTGTGTCAAGGCTTAATCCAGTGGGCTAGTAGCCACTGTTTCTCTTGATGTTCTATAATATGAGCAAAACCTCTACCCTAATGCATAACCAGGCTTCCACTTTGCTGAGAGTGAAAATAACTCTAATGAGCATATACTTAGGACTATTAAGCTGTATGGGCTGCTACCTTTCCCCTCCTTTTTATGTACAAACAAAATAATTTTTAATGTGGTAAGGGTAGTTCTTCCTATTATCTAGCCATTTTCTTGCTAGGCAAAGTATGGTAATTGACAAAGTTCCAAATTCCAGGTATAGGCTCTTTAAATGAGGAAGCCCAATACAAATGTAAACTATTAGCTTGTGCTAGGGAAAAACCGTGATTATAATGCCAATTCCCTCAAAGGTCTTTTTAAGTTGAGAAAACAGACTGAGAAAATCTCAGCTGAGAGAATTTACCATTTCTTTAACTATGAGAACTTTAATGGACAAACAAAAGATAATGCTTTCTCTGCAATCTTTGTGAGCAAGGATTTTTCTCTCACTATTCCAAAGGCTTTGCTACTCGTGGTCCTAAGTCCACCCTTCACAGATCTTAAAAGACTGTTACTCGAGGACTAATGGTTCTTCCCTTCACAATTCCTCTTAAAGGCTGTTACTTGCAGTCCCTTCAGGAGTACCACCCTTCACAATTCCTCGGTAGTGGAGTTTTTCCTGCTTAAACTGCTTTTCCAGCAGAACTTTTGCTAATTGACTCCAGACTCATTTTTCAAATGGAGTTCCCTAGCACAAAGGTGGTTTAACTCTTGGTCTACTTATTCTCCATCATCATCCATTGGTCTGGTTTAGTTTCCTCAGTTTTACACTGAGGCACCACAGGTCTCACCAAGCTGGCAGAGTGCTCCCATGGCATAAATTGAATTATATTGTCTTTCCACGAATAGTTTGAAATAAAAGAAATTAAAAAACACCTCACTTATTTTGTGCGAGGTTCTCTCACTTTTGGATTGGCCATAAGGTCCCACTTGCCGTGAGTGGAGTTTCCCTTTGGACTTTTCCCTGCTGTCTACCAAAGGCTTCACTTACATCCAGATGTCACTTTCCCCTTTGGTCCACATCCCTAGTGTCCTGCTGCATCCTGTCAACTTATGCCACATGTTGCGACCTGTAGGGGCACCTAGGGCCCTGTTCTTGATCACTGCAGGAAGGAACCAGGCATGATGAGGATTAGAAGTGCAAGCAACCTCTGCACTAGTCTTTTATTGAGACAGAACAATACCAGTAAGGGGAGTAATTAACAATGACTACATGCTGAAGGCTCGGGCTCTTCTTCCACAAGGAACACCTATGGATGAGTGGCCTGAGGTCCACCCCTCCACTGCAGATCATCTTGCTCAGCTGTCATCTGGCTCTTGGCATCCCCTACATAACTGTGTATATTATTCCATGTCTTGGCTTTGTTATCTAACATTACACTTTTTGAAATTTATGCATGGTAATCCGATTATCTTTAGTTCCTTATATTTTATTTTTTAATTAAATTATAGCTGTGTACATTAATGCAATCATGGGGTATAATGTGCTAATTTTATATACAATTTGAAATATTTTTATCAAACTGGTTAACATAGCCTTCACCGCATTCTTAGTTATTGTGTTAAGACATTTATATTCTACATTTAATAAATTTCACATGTACCTTATAAGATGCACCATAGGTGTGGTCCCATCAATTATCTTCACCCATCCTTCCCCTACCCCTCCATCCCTCTCCCATTTCCTCTTCTTCTTGGGCTATAATTGGGCTATAGCTTTCATATGAAAGCTACAAATTAGTTTCATAGTAGGGCTGAGTACATTGGACACTTTTTTTCCATTCTTGAGATACTTTGCTGACAAGAATATGTTCCAGCTCTATCCATGTAAACATGAAGGAGGTAAAATCTCCATCTTTCTTTAAGGCTGCATAATATTCCATGGTGTACATATACCATAATTTATTGATCCATTCATGGGTTGATGGATACTTGGGCTTCTTCCATGACTTAGCAATTATGAATTGGGCTGCAGTAAACATTCTGGTACAAATATCTTTGTTATAATGTGATTTTTGGTCTTCTGGATATATATCTAGTAGAGGAATTGTAGGAGCAAATGGCAGGTCCATTTTTAGATCCCTAAATGATCTCCAAACATCTTTCCAAAAGGAACATATTAGTTTCATTCCCACCAGCAGTGAAGTGTTCCCTTTTCTCCACATCCACGCCAACATCTCTGGTTTGGGGATTTTGTGATATGGGCTAATCTTACTGGAGTTAGATGATATCTCAAAGTAGTTTTGATTTGCGTTTCTCTGATGATTAAGGATGATGAGCATTTTTTCATATGTCTGTAGGCCATGCACCTGTATTCTTCAGAGAAGTTTCTCTTCAGGTCCCTTGCCCACCCTGCGATGGGATCACTTGTTCTTTTCTTGCTAATACATTTGAGTTCTCTGTGGATTCTGGTTATTTTATTTTATTTTATTTTAGTTTTTAGAGACGGAGTCTCACTTTATCACCCTTAGTAGAGTTCTGTGGGGTCACACTGCTCACAGCAACCTCCAACTCCTGGGCTTAGGTGATTCTTTTGCCTCAGCCTCCTGAATAGCTTAGACTACAATCACGGCCACAATGCCTAGCTAGGATTCTGGTTTTTAAACCTTTGTTGGAGATGTAACCTGCAAATATCTTCTCCAATTCTGAGGCTGTCTGCTTGCTTTACTTACTGCATTCTTGGCTGCACAGAAGCTTTTTAGTTTGATCAGGTCCCAGTAATGTATTTTTGGTGTTGCTTCAATTACCCGGGAGATCCTCCTCATAAAACATTTGCCCAGGCCTATTTCTTCAAGTGTTTTCCCTGCACTTTTTTCTAGTTTTTTTTTTTTTTTATAGTTTCATGTCTTAAGTTTAAATCTTCAATCCAGTGAGAGTCTGTCTATCTTAGTTAATTGTGAAAGGTGTGGGTCCAGTTTCAGTCTTCTGCAGGTCACCAGCCAGTTCACCCAGTACCATTTGTTAAATAGGGAAACTTTTCCCCCTGAATGTTTTTTTTTTTTTTTTGAGACAGATCCTCAAGCTGTCCCCCTGGGCAGAGTGCCGTGGCATTACAGCTCACAGCAACCTCCAACTCCTGGGCTCAAGCGAGTCTCCTGCCTCTGCCTCCCAAGTAGCTGGGACCACAGGCGCCCGCCACAACGCCCGGCTATTTTTTGGTTGCAGCCGTCATTGTTGTTTGGCGGGTCCGGGCTGGGGATTCGAACCCACCACCTTAGGTGTACGTGGCTGGCGCCTTAGCCGGTTAAGATATAGGCGCCGAGCCCCCTTGAATGTTTTTAATTGGCTTGTCAAAGATCAAATAATGAAAAGTAACTGGGTTCATCTCTTGGTTCTCTATTCTGTTTCATATATCTACCTCTCTGTTTTTGTGCCAGTACCATGCTATTTTAAAAATATGGAACGTTTCACGAATTTATATGTCATCCTTGTGCAGGAGCCGTGCTAATCTTCTCTATATCATTCCAATTTTAGTATATGTGCTGCAGAAGTGATCACTTTATATTTTATTATTGCAAGCCATTCCATTGTTTGGCAGTAATGTAAATTATGACTCCATTTTGATATTTATGAATAGAAAGGGTTTTTTTTTACATTTTTATTAGAATAAGACTGCTGTAATAATTAGGATCAAGTTATGTTGAAAGTGACAGAAAGCTAAAGATAAATGTGCTAAAAAACAAAATAGAAATTTATGTCTCTTCCACATAAACACCCCAATAGGGAGTTCAGATCCTATGTTTTGCTCCATGTTGTCAGGACCCCATGCTCCTTTTATCGAGTTGCTTCTTTGTAGTTGGCCTCCAATCCCAATTCAGGTCTTTATTCAGAATTACAGCTACAGTCTCAGCCGCAGTGTTGGCAGCCTAGCTATCAGGAGGACGGAAAAGGAAAGAGAAAGTACATTCCATGCTTTAAGGAACACTGATGGGAAGTTATACACACCATCTCTGCTCAAATCCCACTGCATAAAACTAAGTCTTGCTGCATGCCTAGCTGTCTGTAGTCTTTATTGTGGTTCACTATGGGCACAGCTAATAATACATGATTTTAATAATAATAATAAATAATGATCATCTTCCCAGAAGAAGAAGAAATCCTTTTATCATAAGGACACGTGCACTAGAGTGTTTATTGCAGCTCAATTTACAATCACCAAATCTGGAAACAGCGTAAATGTCCACAAACTCAGAAATGGATTGTCAAACTGTGGTATATGTACACCATGGAATACTACTCAGCCACTAAAAAAGACAGAGACTTTACATCTTTTGTATTCACCTGGATGGGAATGGAACACATTATTTTTAGCAATGTATCACAAGAATGAAGAAGCAAGAATCCTATGTACTCCATCCTCATATGACAACAATTTATGACAATTAATGACAAGGTGGGGGTGGGGGAAGGGGAGAGTAGAGAGAAGGAAGGAGAGAGGGGATGGGGGTCACAGAGGGTGGTACACCTTTTGGTGTGGAACTCTATAATGAGAGGGTCTTTATCTGACACAAGCAGTCAATGTAACCTGGTTCTTTGTACCCTCAATGAATCCCCAGCAATAAATTAAAAACAAAGAATTAAAAAAAAAAAACATGCTGAGAATGAATAATGGGAAACAGCTAAAAAATTGTGCCCAGCCAGCTATGGATAGTCTCATACAGAATTCTGGGTGCATATGTACAAGAGTTTTTCCAAAAGAGGAATGGCTAAGTCATAGCATATGCACATGTATATTCAATTTTAAGGATAAAGCAAATATTTTCCATGGTTGCCATTCAGTTTATATTTACACTTAAGTGCTTTTTATCTTCTCAGACATAAGTATGGTATTTATTTTAATTTTTTCTTTCCCTTCTTCTTTTTTTTTTCTTCACTTCTACTCCCACCCTTCTTCTTCTAGCTTTTTGGCAATCTGCTGTGAAATGTTGTCAAGTTGTAGTTTTAACGGCATTTTCCTGACTACTAAAGAATTTGAACATTTTTCCATAAAGTTATGTGTCAATAATGTTTCCTCTTCTGTTGAAATGTCTGTTTGTGTATTTTGCCCACTTTTCTATTTGGTTGTTTGTCTATTTAATATTCTTACCTAGGATTTTTTCGTATACTTTATAGATTACTCCTTCACTGGTTACATGTGTTGCAAATGTCTTCGACGTTTAAAGGGTTTATTTTTCAACCATTAATGATGCTTTAAATGAAATATTTCTAATTTTAATTTCTCTAGCTGAACATTCTTTTCAAACAGTGAAATCATAGGTCCATTTTTTTTAATAGTTTAAAATTTTGGTTTCATCTTTTGGGCTTTAACGCAGCTGACTTCACTTTTATGGCATAATGCATGTACAAATTAAGTCTATTTTCTGACATTTTTTTCTTTACGGAAAGCCAACTGTCCACCACATGTTATAATATTTCCTTACTGATCAGCCATTAAACCTTTCTCATATTTGTGTGTGTGTGTGTGTGTTCTAGTTTAGTTTCAATGATCTGTTTACCTATCTCTGAGTCAATGCCACCCTGTCTAAAGCAGCAGTTCTCAACCTGTGGGTTGCGACCCACAGGGACTTTATTAAAGGGCTGCAGCATTAGGAAGGTTGAGAACCACTGGTCTAAAGAGTTGTGTTTAACCCTGTGTGATAAGGCATAAAACAAATCAGCTCCATTTGGGTTTTCTTCAATTCTTTTCAATTCTTGGTCCTTTGCTTCTGACTATAAATGTTTTAATCAGCATGTCAGGTTATACATACACATAGAAAACTGTATTGAAATTTTTTATCCATTTCCTCTATGTTTTCTAGTTTATTTACATAAAGATTTTTGCAGTATTCATGGATAATAGTTTATATTTCTGTAGAACCAGCTACGATGTATTCTTTTTTATATTTCTGATTGAGGTTATTTGAGTCCTTTCTTCCCTATTTCTGGTTAATCTGGCGAGTCATCTATTGATTTTTTTAATCTTTTTGAAGAGTGAACATTTTATTAATGTTTTGTATTTTTTTTTTGTTTCTATTTTGTTTAGCTCTGCTCCGAGTTTTGTAATTTCTTTCTTTCTGCTGCTTTTCGCTTGGTTTGTGCTACTTTTTCTGGTTCTTTGAGATGTGACATTAGGTTGTTCATTTGTGATCTGTCTTTTTGATGATGTCATTTAGACTATGAACTTTCTCTGCAGGGTTGTATTTACTGTATCCTATAGATTTTTAAAGTTTGTATCTCCTGTGTCTTTCAGATTGAGGAATCTTTTGATTTCTATCTTAATTTCATCATTGAACATTTCATCATCATTCAAATTAAGCATTGTCTGTATCCTTGAAAAGAAGACTATTTTTACATGTTCTATCTCTTAATGTCAAAAAGAAAATAGAACATTACTGGAGCTTTTTTATTTCCTCTCTCTAAAACCTTCTTGTTTGGTTTTTATATAATAACCATTTAAATAACTATGCAGAGATTGATGATAAATCTACAAATAAAAATAATTTCCAAATATCAGATTACCTTGAAGTTCCAGTGCACTGTTGCTCTTACTTGTGCAACTATAATAAAAGTCATATTAGGCAAATGGTTTAAAATTCTAAGAATGCCAGAAATTGTTTTCAGCGTTGATTATTCAGTTACAAGTATGATTAAATATAAAACAAATACAGAAATTTCTCTATACAAGCTAGTAGGATTTTCAAATATTTAAAAACATATTCCAAAAGAAGAGGAAAAATGAGAGTTGCTGTTTAGTAAGTACACACTGTGTACCTTATTTGATGTTATTATTCTACTTACACTGTCTTGTTTAATACTTACACCTTTAGTTAATATCAATAGTCATTTAATATTGAATGCATTTTTGAGGATGTTACTGAACCCATTCCATAGATTAGTATATTGAGACATTTGTGTAATAGAAGATACTGATAAAATACACTAAAACTAAGATAATTAGTTTGATCATTGATCTTCTTCTTATCTACTTATCTATTTTGTTTTCATACAGACATAGTAGTTGAAACTTTAGAAGTGAATGAGACCTCTTCCCTTAACGACAAATTATACACAATGTAGACATTTGAACTGGACCAAATATATGTATTTCCCTATTCCTTGCTCTGGCTACCTGATGTATTTGTTTCTATACCCTTGGCCACTTACTCAAAGGCAAGTTCTTAGCCAACATTATCATTGCCTCTTTTCCTAAAATCCCTTGCTATTTTTGTCTCTCCCAGAATGAAGGCTGAAATGTGGTACAGTCTCACTTCAGTTATCATGGAGAAACTGGAAGAGCTCTGGTGATGACTATACTAGAAATTTCCTCCACCACTTCTGGATTCAGGTGAATTAAAGCACCATAGAAGTGTGAGATATTACAGCTGCTAGGGAGAGAGGTACAGCATAAATGTGAGTAGTTTAATGTCCCTAATGGACATGTTTACAATGAGAGATAAGAGGCAGAATAGCACACCCACAGACCTTTTCCTCTTTGCTAATCCACTCCTCCAAGATGAAAAGGTCCTATAAAATCTGCACAGAGAGCCTCGAGGTAGCTGAGCCACCAGTTGTGTTAATATGTGATGCTATGTTTAGTTTGGTAACGGGCCCCTTTAGTTTTTTTGTTTGTTTGTTTTTCATTCCTCACTTCCATTAATTTTTTTTTCCCTTACTTTTTTTCTTTTGAATTTTACCTACCAATAATTAGGGTGAAAGTTTTGTTTCAGGCTCTTTGTTTAGGGAAACCAGGAAATGTCAACATCAAAGATCATATACCATGAGCCAAAAAGGTTTGGGAGAGGAAATGGAGAGTAGATGGTTGAATGTCAAGAATGTTAAGTGCAACAGAGAGACATGTAAAGAGGAATGGCAACAGGCCATTTAATGTGCTAATTAGCAATGCTTTAGTGATACCTTAGAGTATTGTTTTAGTGCACTAGATATTTTTTAAAAAGGAGTACAATATTAAAGATATTAACATTGATTTGTTAAAAAATATATTACCTTATATTTTTTGGGAAATTTAATATCTTTATTCTATAGTTTTTACTCAAAATACAGAAAATTGTATATAATGATACATAAAATAAGACAGGCCAAACTTAAGAATCATCTGTTGTCTTTGTGTTTATTTTTCACCTCTAAGACAACTTTCATTTTGTTTAAATGAACATGTAGACACAAATAATGACCATTTATTAATTTTCTCCACCAACATACATAAACATTACATGTATATATGTGAGTAATTAGCTTATCTACAAATTAAAGTCTGTGTTCTCATCAGAATTAGAGAAACATGGTTAACCATGAACTTATTTAAACAAGAAACATATTTCTCAATTCCAATAATTTCTAACTGAATTTTAATCATTTTTCAAGTTTTATCCCCAAACGTTAAATATTAATTAAATAATTCTTAAATGATTAAAAATAATGCCATTGGCACTTCATAAGAAGTGTGCATGTTTTCCTTTGATACATGTGAAGACTAGCAGTGATAACAGCCAATGCACGTG